GTATTCAGCACTATTACTACACACTACATATTCACTTATGTTTTCTAGAGTTGGATAACCTGACCATTTGTACGTTTATGCACCACAAAATAAACCCTAAATGTGGTATACCAAGAGGTTTTTACTTAAGACATATTAGAATTGAGCAACTACGTATCATTTGTAAATATTCATAAAAAAAGTTATATATAATCATAGAATCATATTTAAATATTATTGTTATTTTTTTTTTTTTCAATTTGTGTTGATTTAAGAATTTTATTTTGATAAAACAAATACTTCACACGGGTGAAGCCGGGTAATTCAGCTAGTATTGCTAGTAACAGTAGTAACAGTAGTAACAGTAGTAACAGTAGTAACATATAAAATAGATGACCGACTTGGACGAAAAAATCGTTTCGCATACGCAGGACGCAGCGATCCCAACGGCAAATTTCTGAACTAAGCAACCAAAACATAGATTTAACATAATTACATTATCATTGTTTTTAATAGGTATTTATTTTTCGAATCCACTTACCTAAAGTTTTATTATTATTATTAATTGATTGATTAATGATTTGTAATAATAAGAATACAATTAATGTATATACACACACATGGTATTGTAATAATAATTCTGAATTATATGTATAATGGTAGAATTAATGGATATAGTAAATAGTAATAACAACATAAAATTTACCATAGGTAGGTAAGTAAGATACCTATTATATTTGATTTAAGGAACTAATAATGTTACAAGTTAAAACATTACCACATTTATTGTTATATTATAATTTCAAATCAATATAATAAAGATTAAATAAAAAAAAAAATAATTTATACTTAGCAATCTTACATATTTTATTTACATTTATTAATAAAAATAAAATTTTAAATATAAGTATATATAAATTTAAAAACCCATTGAATACCTAATAATTATCAACATAATAATATAAAAAATAATACTTACCTATGAAACAGTTAAATTCATATTTATTTAAATATATAAACCTTGAGAAATAATAATAAGGAACTTATATAAATAATATTAAATTATTTTCTTTATAAACATGTTTATATGTGTATAAAAATTAATAATATAACTTTATTATGTTTATGTCATATTTTGTTGAAAAAAATTATTGTTTAATAAAGAATAATTTTAATATTTTATTTTGTAAGTGTTGGGAGTTTATGAAAATATAACGTGAACAATTTAGAACATTGTTTACAAGAATTTGTGTTTAATGTACAGATAATACGTACTATCGACGATTGTCGCTATCGACAGAAAGATAGTATTTWTTATGTCACCCTGGGATGGTCGACAAAAGGCACGGTTCGCTACTTCGCTAGTATTAACTCAACGAGCGTCGGAAACAT